AAGAAACTCTTCTAGAACATGGCCACACAGCCCCGAAAACCCCACAAAATACTATGGATGCCGGCCATGAAAGCCTTCGGCTTCACAAAGCTAGCTCTCTTTTCAGGGGCAGGATGAAACTCCCAACAATTGGATGAATGAGGCCAAGAAAAGACATGGATGTTTCCAGTTAGTGGTTTTCCGCACTTCGCCAACACACCGTGTCCGGATCAGACAGAATGAAACCAACTTGGTTTCAGACATACTCATCTCGACCCAGGTCAAGCTAATTTTGGTCACAGGACAATATGGGAGATGAAAAGGGGGCTTGAGAAATACAGTGGTCCCTCCACATTTGCTGGGGTGAGGGGTGAAGGACCCACATGCATGTGGAAAAATCACAAATAATAAAACACTATTCTTTTTACCTAAGACAATACCTCTCTAGGAATCTCCAGGTCCTCCAGGGCAACTGTATGGTCACGATCTGCCAGAAATTGATCACAGAATCATGCTGGAGGACCTACAAATGCCTACTAGAGAAGTGTTTTCTCTAGGAACTTCTAGTTTCACCAATACAACTCTATGGTCAACTTCCCACAAAGTTGCGCTGGAAGACCTAGTGATTCCTAGAGAGAACATATTAACCAAAGCTGCCAATAATCAAATCCACAAAAGTCAAAGCTGCAAATGTGGAGCGCCAACTGTAATGCTTGTGCAATATCCCACCCAAACGTAGAAAGCATTTCTCCTTATATTGAGAAAGACCAAAAAGAGCAAAAGACTACTTCTGACCCATTCTTCCAGAATTCCACCAGGCTCCAAAAGGCTGAAAATATTTGATTTATATTCTACTTTCCTTCCAAATGGGTCTCAAAGCGGCTTACAATTTCAATCAAAATGGAGCATCTAAAGCAATATGGAGTATGAATTTTTTTTAAAGCATCAAACCAGCCATTCTATTTAAATACTAATTTTAAAATGTTAAAAAAGAAAAGTTTAAATTTGCAAAGGGTTGGCTGCACAACCCATCTGTTTGTTCCAGTCCATGGCAACTGGCATGGGAGATGAAGAGCTGGGCACCTTGCCATGCTGACCCCAACTGACTCAGCCTCCATTTGATTCTCCCTCACAAAGTACAAAATGACCGATCTTTCCTTTTCGTATGGTCTATAAAAGGCAAGGATGAATTCTGGAGAGGAACTGCTGATCTGCCATGATGAAATTTTTAGCACCAGTATCTTCCCCTAAGTGAGCAAGGGTGGCGTTGTGGTTTGACTAAGACACCAAGGGTACCTCTGCACTGTAGAAATAATGCAGTTTGACACCACTTTTAAGTATCATGGCACCATCCCATGGAATCCTAGGATTTGTAGTTTGGTGAGGCACCAGCACGCTGGATGAGATGACTTTGTAAAACTACAAATCCCAAGATTCCACAGGAGCCACAGCACTTAAAGAGGTGTCATGCTGCATCATTTCTATGGTCTAGATGCACTCTGGAAGACCAGGGTTTGAATCCTCACTCAGCCATGGAAACCCACTGGGTGACCTTGGGCAAGTCACACTCTCTCAGCCTCAGAGGAAGGCAATTTCAAACCCCTCTCTGAAGAATCTTGCCAAGAAAACCCCATGATCAGTTCGCCTCAGGGTCACCAGAAGTCAAAAAAGACTTGAAGGCACACAACAACAACAACAAATTAAACATACAGCCTCTCTTATCTGTTTGACATTTATCTGAGGCTGCATCTGCACTGCAGAAATAACCCAGTCACAGACCACTTTAACCCACACACTCTGCTCTGGTGCCAGAACAAACTACAAATCCCAGAATTCCACACATGGAGCTGTGGCAGCTCAAGTGGTGTCAAACTGGATTATTGCTGCAGTGCGGATGCAGTTTAAATCAGGGAGGGAAAGGCTGAGGACTTGCAACTTTCCCTCTTATTTAACCAGACAAAATGTGAACCAGCAAGACTCTGCAAACAAAACCTGTCACTTTTCCACGAAGGGCTGCCGACCACCAAAGCAAGTCCCTGGAGTGACAGCTTTCTGTCACGAGTGAACGCCGCACCTGCCGAGCGGGACTCACGGAGGCGCCTGTGAATGCAAAGGCACCCTGGCCTGGAGACCCAAAGGAGGATGAAAGAGCTGCTTTCAACTTGTCAACTAGCTCTGAGGGGTGTCTTCAAAGAAGGGAATACA